CTAGGGAGCATTGTCTCAACCACAGGAGGAACGGACGAGGATGTCAAGTCGAGAATCGTGAAGGCGAGAAACACATTCATCAACCTGAAACCAATCTGGAAATCTTCCGCTGTCACTCAGCATCAACAACAAAATTCGGATTTTCAACACAAACGTCAAGTCAGTCAGTTCTTCTATACGGATCAGAAACTTGGCGGCGGGTCACAAAGAATATTTCCAACAGCCTGTTGCAGGTAGACCTTTATCAACAGCTGTCTTCACTCTATACTGAAGATCAGATGGCCGGAAAGAATCACCAGGAAGAAACTATGGTAACAAACAAAACAAGAACCAATCGCCCAACAAATATGCAGGAGAAAGTGGAGATTGATTGGACACTCGCTGAGGAGGCCGCTGGGTGACAACACGCGTCAGGCCATAGCTCGAGTGGAACCCGAAAGGAAAGCGGCGAGTGGTTCATCGGTGCAAGGGTGACATGGAGGAGATCGTGTGAAGAGGAGTTGAAACAGTATGGACTAACATGGATGCAGGTGAAAAATGCAGCAGAAGGCAGAAGCAAGTGGAGACGTGCAGTTGAAGCCCTATGTTCCGCTAGGAACCCAAGGGAACAATAATAATAATAAATTATTTTACTATTTTTCTGACTACTTCATCTTTAATTACATGTTATCATTGCTATGATCATTTCTAACCTTTAATTGTTTGAATTATCTATCTTGGTTATTATCAAGCCCCGTGACATGTTGATATTAATTAAATAGTGTTAACAAACATATCACCAGTTGATAGGTTAATTGTTTTGTATTGTAATAAAAATACTATAGACATCAGAGTAGAGCCACAGACGAGGATCTAATTAAAAAGTAAATATTTCTTCGCTCAATCCTTTTGCTTTCTAAATGTCTGAATGCGGATTCATCGATGCCTACACATTTTGACTAATTGACTGACTGACTGTGTCAAACTTTACACAAAAGTGCACCACTTTAAGCTGCCACACACTCCTTATATAATACATAAAGATTGAGAGAAAATGCAAAGGAAGTATAGTGAACGGAAACGTACTGGAGAAGGAATCCACACATGCAGAAAAATGAGGACATCGTGGATACAGGAGGTCATGCAAGTGGTCAAAGGTTCAATTCCCGACCGACGTGCTCCTAAACGTCGCTTAGTCGGTAGTAAGCTCGGTAAAGAGAGGTGGTAGCACATGAGGCTAGCAATTCTAACCCGTAAAAAATAAATACAAGTGCTACTGGGAATTCAAAGCTGAAACTTGGATCTCTATGTTCTACTGTGAATACGAAGGAATAAAATAAATAAATAATAATAATAAACAGTAAATGAATACATCTGAGTCATTGACAACGGTTTTGAGCCATGTAAGCAACAGTCGGCCACTTCATGGATTGATGATAGGTTCTCATTCGACCATCCGTAACCTTTTTCCAACCTAATACTATATCAGTTAGCCTTATTCATCCTGAAAGATGATGACATGACACGTGTCCTGAACACATCTCTCAATAGATGCAGCTTCACGACCTGACCGATTGACTTCCACTCCTTGCTTACCATTCTACGCGTAACTTCAATATTTCTCAATAGACTATGCCATTTAAGACAGGAGAAAGAATACAGACACCTGTAGTCAAATACAACGAGCCTTTTGCATATCTTCCAAAATATCCAGTATTCAACAAACAACAACTCAGTGTGATCATTTGAATTACAGTATATCTTCAATGTTTAACTGAGTTATTAACACTCGGTAAACAAAATTAACTATTACACGTTAATTAAAAAGGTGGAGTGAAATCAAGTTTGTTTCTCTAATTCTCTGGTGTCATTACTCAGTCTAAATGATTGGAATAGTAGATGATAACAGATTTGCCATAACTATGTCTTGATTCACTACACTAAATAGCACGTTATTGAGTGAAACACCATCATTTCTGCATGCAAACTATTGATATCCTGCAAAAACAACTTTCAAGAGTTGGTTTGTAAGGATTAGATTTGTTTTTACCAGTTTGACCATGGACTGAAATAAGTTAGAGAACCATTGAAAACTATGGAGTACTGGACGACTGTTTCATCCTATTCAAGTATTGGTTTGTAGAGATTTGGTTGATTGGTAACAGGATTTCATCATGAGCTGACATTGGTTAGAGAACCATTGGGAAACCGACCTGGGAGTACTGGACAGCTGTTTCGTCCTAGTTTGGGACTCTTCATCAGTACGCACCCACCGGGGTTCGAACCCAGGACCAGTAAGGTGCAGCAGGTCGGGTGTGAGGACAAATACTCGCCGAAGACATTGGCTAGCGATTGCACTATATCGTGAATTGGCAGATGTTAGAATTCACGGGCTATTGGATCGGGTCCCAGTGTCTTAATGGTCTACGAGCTCGCCTTGTAACCAGAAGGTCCTGGGTTCGAACCCCGGTGGGTGAGTACTGATGAAGGGTCCCAAACTGGGACGAAACAGCTGTCTAGTACTCCCAGGTTGGTTTTTCAATGTTTCATCCTAGTTTGGGAATCATCGGCAGCACGCACCCACCACTAGGGCTCGAACCCAGGACCTTCCGGTTACAGGACAGAGTTTCCTGGAGTTCTAGTGAGAAGTCGTGACCAGTGAGGTCCATTCCAGTCAAGTGTAAGCATGGATTTCACATCAATGGCATTAGTTGGTGGTCGCGCGAAATGCATCACGAATTGGTAGAAGTTAGAATTCACCGGCTGGCCATTGAATCGGGTCCCGGTAGCTGAATGGTATACGAGCTCGCTGGCCTTGTAACCAGAAGGTTTTGGGTTTGAACATCGGTGATAGGTACGTACCGCTGATGATTCCCCAACTAGGATGAAACAGCTGTCCAGTATTCCCAGGTGGTTTTCAATGCTTCTCTAACTGATTTCAATCCTTGGTCAAACTTGTAAAAACAACTTCGCCTTTTTCATTTTCTTCTCGAAAATATCGACATTACGCAATCGTTCGAGTGAAAGTTAAATAACATATAACCAGACGAATTATTTACAAAAGCGGTTTTTAATTACACATAGTCTCAATCGACAAATCTGAATAGATATCATACACACACACACACACAGGGTATCCTACTGTAAAAAAGTATAGTCGACTATCGTAAACCAAGTCATTTTGGGATTAGAGTAAATAACTGTTACTAACTGGTAACTTTGGACAATAGAGGAGTGATTCACTAATAACTGGAATCAGTTGTAGTGATCAATTGGTTTATTATTGACCTTTATTTTTCACAGTAAATTGTAAATAGCATCAAGTGACATTAGGAAGGGAAACACTATGGTTGTATACTTTGAACACAGGCACAAATCATTTACATTCATACAAATCACCCAAAGACTATCCTGTTAAATATATTTTGCACCTATTCCGGAAAAATCAGTTAACGCCCCTATTAGTAGATGATTAAGCGAATTCTTTCCAAGAAGATTTCGTATTTGGCACAGTTTTCATAGTCACTAGTGTTGTCGCCTTGTATGACAAGAAAAAAGAAAATCTGGCCGTTCAAGGTATGACAAGTAGCCTCTAGTAAAACTCACCTACGAAATCCGTTAAACTCACTAGTAAAGGGACTAAAATTCACATTTCAATCGGAAAATGAACAAGGAGAATTAGCTATGTTGTTAGATTGTAAAATAAAACGAATGGAAGAACGTAAACTGCACACTAGTGTTTCTAAAAAGCCAACGCATTCTGCTAATAGATATTTAGACTTTAATTCATTTCATCCATTGTTTGTAAAGGTTGGCTTGGTTAAGTGTCTAACTAACCGAGCAATAGCACTAAGTAGTACAAGAAAAGACCTAAATGATGAAATGAAACAGAGAGGAGAAGCGTTGGTATCAAATAACTATCCTATAAAATTCATTAGCAAGGTCAGAACATGCCAAAAGCAAAATAAAAATAACTGTGAAACTAATAATGATAACATGAATAAGAAAGAATATAAGGCATGCACAATAGTTTTACTATATAAGGAAGGGACATCTGAGACTCTACTTAGGATTCTCAATAAGGCAGGAATTAGGGTGGCATTCAAACCTACAAACTCACTCAGAGACAAGCTCTGTAGACTAAAGAACTCTTGTGAACCGAATTAGACAAAATGATATAAATTTACAAAGTACCTTGCAATGACTATGAGTTAAGTCAACTACATAGGTCAAACTGGTAGATCAAGAGTAGTGAGATTGCATGTCAGAACAGAAGAATTTAGCTAAGGTTAGAATGATTGATCCCACCTACGAAGATAAGTAATTTCGAAAAAAAACTCAGCAATAGCACTGCATGCATTAACACACAACACACACAACACGGTGGGTGGGACAGAGTCCAAATTCTTAAAGGTATTATAGGTAAGTGGAAAGAGAGAGAGAGATTGATTACTGAATCCTGGTTCATCGAGTCTACAACCAACACATGCAACAGAAATGACTCAATGCAAATACCAGAGATATGGAGGATATTATAAGCAGTCAAATCAGAGGATAATAAAGAATGTTAAAATTCTATTTCAATTCACATACATCATAACATTCTAACAAGTTACTTATTTCGACTAAAAACATCGTTTTCCCCATTTATTGCATTTTATGATAGCACTAATGTTATTTTCGAATGTACTTTATCTTAGATTGATTTTATTCAAATGTCTAATCATCAGGTTTTATTCATGTATATAAGTGAAGCAAGAAAGTTGTGTGAGTGAGTCCTTGATATGATTATGAGTAGCAACAATTTGTGCTCGGGAGGTGGTCATCAGTAAACATTACTGTACAACACTGAGTGACTGATCAAAATAAAATCTTATCAACAATGGAGGTCAATGATCCATCTATATAAATAACATCAGATATGAAAGATCTTCACAATAGTTAAGATCAAGTTACTGTCTTGTTACAATGAATGAAGAAATATGAGAAAGGTTATCAAAATGCTCCAAACAAGCACTTACCTGAGTAATACAGCAAATAATAATAAGGCAGAGGTGACAGCTGTTGAGTGATTCTTGAGCTGAAAAAACAAAACGTAAATTACATGTAGCTCCAAAGGATATATTCAGTATTACATGCAAACTTTAAACTAATAACGTGAGTTAAGTGTAAGAGTTTTGTACTATGTTGACAAACACTATAAACAACCTAAACTGGCTACTAACTCAGCTTCAAAGAAAACCATGTTCGTGAATTTAGAATTCGAAGGTGTTCCGATTTCATGTATGCTCAAAAAAAGTCTTTCTAAATCAGTCAGTAAGATGTTCTTTGCACTTAAAATTCCAATCGACCTTCACCAGGCGTGAAATGTACTTCGTCTGTGTGAAAGACAAGTTCCCTCACTTCTGACCGCCTCCATATGCATTTATCGGTTCATGTGTTCTTTTAGAGCAATATACATCAGTCGTAACCAGTAAATGCTTTCCACACGGATACGGGAGCACATTTTAGCATGGTTTTTACAAAGGAGAAAGGAAGACTGTGAAATGCTTTATTTTAGAACGCTTGATCGACTCCTGTCACTCAACCAACCCTGATCATGACTTTAAGATAATCTATCGAGTTCATGCTAACTTGCCGCGTATTCTTTGTTACAAACTTCTAAAGACAACATAAATATCAATGATGTTGAGCATTGAAACGTCTGTTTATTCGAACTGGTCTCCATTTGGCGGGATCTCCTTGCTTAATCGTATATTCGGTTGGCAGAAGACAGGGGAAATACAGTCAAAAGTATAACTGTACATTCTACTAACGTTTATTTACAAACTTTGCCGACAGCACAACCTGTACTTTTGTCTCATTATCGATGGAAGAATAAACAATTGTATTGAATTGCGGTTTCCTTTTATTCCGCGTTAGCTACTGTGCAGTCTTCTGAAACCATCGATAGGTCCAGGATCTTTGTGGTCTGGATATTTGACAAGACGACTTAGCCATTCATGAATTTAAGCCAGGCCTTTATTCACAAAAGAAGTATGAACAATCACTATTTCTACCTTGGCCGTAGGGGGATAAACATTTATTTATAACTAATTCACTATTATCACTCGCATATGTTCCTTTTGTACATTTCCTAACCCTCTTCACACTTCTTAAATGGACACTCAACTACATTTCTTCTCACTCAACAGCAATTTTAACCTTTAACAAATTTCTAACCACTTCTCCCTTTATGCCGTTGAGTACTACGTAATTTACAACTTTTATTTTTACTTCTAAAGCCACTTCTGAGTAATCATATCAATTATATCACTCCCTATTACTCAATAATAGACTACTATACATTTTTGGTAAATATAGATACGACTGTACAGCCTCTGAAGATGATTTCGCCGATAGGGAAAATTTTTTTCGCTGAATTTCTTATACTTTTGGCGATGTTAACATCTATTTTATCAAACTTTTCATCATGTTGAGTAGAGTTTTATTTATATTAGTTGGAAAGAGTATCTTCGCTGAAATTTTTTTTAATTTTAACTTTATTCCTTTGCTTTCCAAGTGGAACATAGAGCTTCAAGCTGGAGCTTTAAAGTGTCAGCAGCAGTGGGTTTGCTGGCCTCATTTCCAACCTTTCCCCTTTACCTGACTTACTAGCGGCTTGGCAAGGTGAAGGAGTGCGTTGGTCGGGAATCGAACCCTTGATCCCTTGCTTGGTTGGCCAGTGTCCTACCACTGAACCACTGACGCTGAATATTGTATCCTGCGTCAGTGGCACAGTGGTAAGAACTCTCGCCGACCATGCACATGGTCCGGGGTTCGATCCCCTACCCACGCACACCTGATATCTATGGTTGGCCTGCAAACATTTGGGCTATCGATATCACAAGCTGAAAATTCCATACTTGTACCAAAAAATACGGTGTGGAATCAAGCTGTAATCCAAAAAAAACTATACATTTAACGCTTATGATACATAGACAAAGAAGATTGGCTTTGCTGACGTATTTCACCACAAACGTATAAGCAGTCGGTAGACAACTTTTGAAAACCGATTAGTATTTTTTTTAATTTGCATAAAGCAAACTCATTACTCATACAATATTCATATACTTACTTTTAGCATCTTGCATAACAACAGAACAATATTCTAATAAATCTGCCAGTAAATTTCTTGGTTCTATTGAAGGTGCATACAAAGAATCCATGTCTAAATTGAAACCATTTAATTGTCCATTAGCAAAAGATGAAGTTGTATGCCGTCGACATTTACCATGACTATTATTATTATGATGATTATTGTTAGAACTTTTAGTTGAATTATTTGGTGAGGATAAACTCTGAGGACTTGATGATCTAGTACTACTATTATAAGTCATAGTGTAGTAGTAGTAGCAGCAGCAGCACAAGTGGCAGCCGTCGTCGTAGTAAGTACTGGCACAGCTCTACCGGGTGATACAAAATGTGTTGTATCCAAATAACCGACCATAGATTCTGTACTAACAGCTTTTAAAATTCGATAGTCTAAAGTGATAAAAGAAATAAAAACCACTTAAGTAATCAGGGCCTGTAAAGGTGTGAATAACGATAAAGTAGCACAAATCACTAGCAAAAATACAGAGAATTCTACAATCATATACTGATGATGATTGGTGGGATGGTGAAGCTACATAATTTGAGATGGCTATGACAATTATTACGCATGCCAAGCCACTACCTTCTTCTTTGATATAGGATAAGGTTGGAAAAGAGTTATGGGTAGTCAAATCACAACCAGACATCAATCCCTAAAGTCTTTGACAATCGGTTTTCGTCACGTAGGAAGGCGTAGACTGCCTTGTCTGGGTGTAGACTTTCTGGTTGGGGTCCTCGAGACGGTGAAAACCAATGGTTGGAAACAATTGGTGACATGGCTCAAAATCGTTCTCAGTGATGGCGCAGATGCATTCACTCCTTGTGACTTATGATTTCCAATGAAACTGTTTTGTTGTTCGTTATTACTATTCCTTTGTCTCACACCTCTGTTTACTGTCTCTAATATGCATTTCTCCTATTTTCTTCTCTTACTTTGTGTGCTACATGGAATGTGGCGACTTGAACTGCCGCACATATGTGCAAAGTTCCATGTCGAAAACTGACCGACCGACCGACCGCCTTGTCTGGGGATTCTCAAGATACTAAGAACCAGTGATTCGAAACCGTTGACAATGGCGCAGATGCACTCACACTTCGTAATCTCCTTGATCGATTAAATCTTCATGTCTCTTTCCATGTAACTATTCTCTCTCTCCAACACATTTCTGCTCATTGTAGTTCCTTGAATTTCTTTGCTTTTATTTTCTGTTTTTTTGTGTGCTACATGGAATGTAGCAACTTGAAGTGCTGTACTTCTGTGCAATGTTGAAATTTGGTCAGCCAGTCATACAATTATACTGCGATGATGAGCTAAATGAATATAAATCCTAACAAAACGACTATCTCCATGGTGAAACAAATGTAGTTTTACTGGTTACAGAGAATCGATAGAAATCGATCATATAACATAAAGTAGGTGAAGCGGAATAATTTTAGTTTCTACAAGTACACAACACGACTAGATATTATTTTTTTAAATTCCAGTCCAGAAGATAATGGTTAAATGTTAACAAAAATTCGTTAATGGATGAAATGGTTGAAAGGACAATTTATTCAACATCCTGACTTTTGAAAACAGTATCTCTTGTGACTAATCTATGTAGGCTCTCCACTGATCACCCTAATCATTTCCATATTTCAGTCTTCACACTTGAGGATTAACACGATATATTGGCAAAAGCTCTGAATAAATTTTACTACTAATAGTAATTTGATGTATTCTTGTCAGATGACCAACTACACCCAAAATGTAACTAGTGAGAGAGAGAGAGAGAGATGTCTGTCTGTCTGTCTGGATTCAACATTGAACTTGGCACCGAAGTGCAGCAGTTCGAGTTGCCACGTTCCAAATTGCACACAAATGTAGACAAGAAGATGAGTGAAGAGAATCAATAGAGTTTTGACAAGTATAAGAGTGAAACAGAATGAGTAATAGTAGAAAGGAATATGAGACTGAATACATCTGCGTAGGCCATTGACAACGATTTTGAGCCATGTCACCTATTGTCTCCAGCCATTGATTCTTAGAGTCCCGAGGGCCCCAACCCGGAAGTCTGCATCTCCCTACCTGACTCAGTTTAACTGTCAGGGATTTCATGGATTGATGAGGCCATGTTTTTGTTTGGCATGACACCACTTACTCTTTTCCAACCTGCACCGATATCAGCTAGTAGTGCCCGTCGGGGGAGGCGATGGTTAGGCATGCGCAGCACGTGACCTAGTCATCTCAATCTATGTAACTTTATAGCCTCGTCGATTGATTTTCCCTCTTTGCCCAACACTCTACGCCTGATGTCAACATTACTTACTTTATTATACCACCTAACGTGAGAAAGAGATCGTAGACATCTATGATCAAAAATAGACAACCTTTTCATGTCTTCAACTCGTATTGGCCATGTTTCAGAGCCAGCCATAGAGAAGGACGGAGCGAACTTCTGAGCAGTACACACGTCCCTTGGTTGATAGCCGGATGTCACGCCTACGCCAGAGATGGTGTAAGTTAGCGAAAGCGAGAGGATGTATTGGAATAAGGTGGAAATTTATCACAATAAAACAATATAGAAAGTGAACCAATTCTCTGATCTCCAGCACATTCTAAAAGTAAGTTAATACTCTTCTCAAAGGTTTACAACTACATATATAAGATCAAAAGCCTATTCACACAATTACACATGAAGTGAAACTGTACCAGTCCCCCTGATACATGCCCATCAACAAGCAATCAGAGTTACATATGGTACAACCAAACCAAACTACGTCTGTTGATCTCGATTTGCTTCACAAGTTCTAGGAAGTTCGACTGTTTGATTGCTGTGTGAATAATGGATTAATTGGAGTTACTAAAACATGCATATGTAGGGGTGACTTGACAGAATAGCTCGGCCAAGTTAAAGAATAGCGACCCACCAGGAGGACAAACGCACCGTTGAATCGCTATTCTTGAATTACGCCAATAACTGGCTCTCTTAGGAGGACTGGGATTTTGCAGTAGGTTAAAGAACAGAATTAGAAATATAAACAGATTCCAGGATACCATAATTTGTAATCGGTTCGGGTGGCTGCTATAATTTAACTTCTCTGTATATCTTATCTACGACTGAGTAAAATGGACGAATGAACCCTACTTTGGTTAACTGATACACAGTGACTTCAGTTCTTTATCAGAGTAATTGTTTTCTTATTTCATACTAGTTTACATACCTGTAACCTTTAGAATTGAATAAGGATAATAACTTGTGCGTCCGTGGCATAGCGGTTAGGACGCTCGCCAACCATGCACATGGTCCGGGGTTCGATCCCCGGCCACCGACGCACTCCTTCACCTCGCTAAGCCAGAAATAAAAACCTGGTGAAGAGGAAAGGTTGGGCATGAGGCTAGCAACCCCATCCTGTAAAAATAAACACTCCTACAGAAACTTCAAGCCTCTAGCTTGAAGCTCTAGTAATATATAGTGTGGCTTTTGCCTATTTCACAAGATGAATGAACAAGAGGTTAAACTAGAAAGAAAACAATACACATTGTATTATGCCTGTAACCTGGTTAAAACAGACTTACTATTCTTAAAGTCTTCTTTAAAAAAAACAATTGTTGTCATGGTAAGATAACAAAAGACAATCATTGAATTAGTTAGAAGAACAGTTTAAGAAATGAGAAAACCAAATCACTAAGTCATAAGTAGTGCAATAAATACGGAATGTTGTATTACAACGTATATCTCATAAAGTGTAGCAGTGAGCACTTCACTACTTTTGTATAATATATACATTAATTCCGAATACTAGGTGTTTTCAAATCGGTAATACTTCATCTACAACTGTATACTGCACAGTCTGCAACAACTAAATTACTTTAACGTGAAATGGTAAAATATTGTGTAAGAAGTCTCTTTTAACGTCCAGGATTTCATTGATCGTCAATATGTTTATGTTTGGACTCATTCACCTGGAACAGGATAAGAGCCACACTTACCATGTGAAGGATAAGGAGACTACCCAGTAGCCGAGACTGAAGTAGCTGGAGCAGGAGTCGGAACAGTGACTCATCTGCTGAGACAGTCCTCAAAGATAATGGAAGTGGTTCTTTCAAGTGCAAACATCAACAAAATATACAAAAAATTCGTGTATATTCTCAATTGCTACCTGTATGCATGGAATAACAAGTGATTTTAGGCAGAAAATGAATTTTTGAGCCTAAGTGAAACGTGATCAACAAGTGACCACATAGTTGCAGTGACGCATATTTTGTATTCCCTCTCATTGTTTGCTAACTCTTTTAACGTATCAGTGAATTTAGCATATTCTTCAAGATCACCTGAAGACTTTAAAAACACAACATCGCTGTAACTACTGTTTGAGACAGTAGTATTGTTGTCGTTGAAGTTTCTATTAGCGGTTAGAATAGTTTCCGTCTGTGCATTCAGTTCATATAGCCCCAAATCGACTACGTCGTATTATTACTACTTACCCAGCAGTTACACATAAATCAAAGCAGAATCCCATTAACCATCGATTTCACCAGAGTCACACCTAACTTATTCACGTTTTGTTACAATTTAGAGAAAATATCGATTCATTAACATGAAGTCAGAATAAGTGATATCCGACTATCAACATAAGGGTGTGTGTACTGCTCAGCAGTCCACTCCATCCTCCTTTATGGCTGTGAGACCTGGCCATTGAGAGTGGAAGACATGAAAAGATTAGCTGTCTTGATCATAGGTGTCTGCGTTCTATCTCCCGTGTGAAGTGGCATAATAAAGTGAGAAATATTGAGGTTAGGCGTCGAGTGCTAGTTAACAGGGGAGATCAGTCGACGAGGCTGTGAAATTACATCGACTGAGATGGTTAGGACATGTGCTACGTGTGCCTAGTCATCGCCTTCCTTGACCAACAAGCAATGTTAGCTGATATAGGCTCAGGCTGGAAAAGAGCTAGCGGCGGTCAAACGAAAACATGTCACCAGTCAATGAAATCCACAACAGTTAGTTTAAGCCACGTAGGTAGGTGTAGACTTCCTGACTGATTGGGGTCCTCGGGACGGTAAAACCAAAGGTTGGAAACAATTGGTGACATGGCTCAAAATCGTTCTCAATGGCTGGCGCAGATAAATCCACTCCTTGTGACTTATGATTTCCAATGAAACTGTTTTGTTGTTCGTTATTACTATTCCTTTGTCTCACACCTCTGTTTACTGTGTATATGATGCATTTCTCCTACTTTCTTCTCTTGCTTTGTGTGCTTCATGGAGTGTGGCGACTTGAACTGCCGCGCACATGTGCAAAGTTCTATGTCGAAAACAGACAGACAGAGACAGAACTCAGAATAAGGAAAAAAATTGAGATTTTCAACACTGATATCATATCTGTCAGTGCTCTATGTGGTTCACAGACTTGATGTACGCACCATGAAAAGCATTTCTAACTGATAGAAGACTAATGAAGATTAGATAGCCATAAAGGATTATCAACACGGAACTCTGGGAGGCTACGGATCAACCAACCACCTATCGCTCAATAAATATGCTGTAGGAAATGGTGATCCACTTGACCTACTCCGAGGAGACCGCTGAGTGACATCAGACAACAGATTCTTGAATGGCACCCAAACAGGAAGTGGGCAACCAGTTGGGCGTCCTCAGGGTGCAACGGAGGAGATCGTGTAAGGAGAAAGTGAGAGCTTCAGGACAATTATAGAGTCACGTTCCACTCTGAACCCAAGGGGATAATGCATATATATATGTATATATATATATATATATACTAAACAATATTAACCTACCTAATATAGGATCTGGAACAATGATACTCTCCATATCTCTTGTATTATTTGTATAATGACCATTGGAATACGACAAGAGTATAGCGAAATGATGACTGCTTCTAGCCAATTCATATAAACACAGCAAAAGTGAATCACACGGTCTGAGGAGTATGTACAAAAAAAAGATGAATTCCGATTCAGATGGGAGATGACGAAAAGAAATAAAAGTGAAACGCTTTTTAAGACTTTTTAAAATCATTTCATGAAACATTGTCAGGATAATTATAATTTTTTTCTCGTTGTCTAGTCAAATATACATGCCCTATTCAGGTAGGTAGTTACCTGGGGTTCCAGTGGGAAATCGTGACCGGTAGGGTGCAGCAAGTCGGGTGTGAAGACAAATACTCGCCGATGACATTGGTGGCTAGTGGTCGCTCTATAGCGTGGATTGGCAGAAGTTAGAATTCATAGGCCATTGGATCGGGTCCCAGTGGCTGAATGGTACACGAGCTCGCCTTGTAACCAGAAGGTCCTGGGTTCGAACCCTATGGTGTGGGTGTGTACTGATGAAGAGCTTCAAACTAAGACGAAACAGTTGGCTGTCCAGTACTCCCAGGTTTTCTAATGGTTCTCTAACCAGTGTCAGCTCATGATGAAATCCTGTAACTGTCAAGATTAATTCGGATAATATAATCAAATTGTCACAATTGGTGACGATAAAAAAAGCTAAATCATCGGTATTCTTTTGGCAATAATTATAACAATGAGTATAGAGCCACAACAGTAACACAGTAAGGTTTTTTTGATTAAAAAGGAAATTTTTTTTAAAAACTGCTCACCTTAAGCTGATATTAGATCCCGCATCACCAGACACAAGAGTGGTGAACTGAAAGAAACAATATTGATAATTTAGTTGAGAAGGTTTATTAGCTAAATAAAATGAGAAACTTCATGAAAGGTGTATATATATATATACGTCATAGAGGTGCACGAGGTGAGATTTCCAGTTCGGAAGCACAAACCAAACTGTCCTACCATTGGCTCTAGTGTCCAATGTTAGGTATGCAATAGCTACCACCATGGTTTCGACGTAGATATGCAAAACCTGGTGAGTTCCAGCCAAGGTTTTTTTATTATCGATTTTGTGTTTCACCGTAGTTATTCCTTTCATCTTGCTCGCATACTGCAACGATATCTGAAGCTGCATATTCGATGGACCATCGATATATCGGCTGTTTTGATATGTATGCTATTTTAATGGATGTTTTTGCACCATCTAAAGTTTTATAACCCTGAAATTCGTTTTGGAGAATTAGAGTAGTTAGCTTCTGACGACGTACTGTTGGACAAAAGAGAAGACTGTCAATACATAACAACTGCCATGTGAAATACAGGAGGCGACACAACTCAATGGTTCGGAAGCTTAATCACACTGGTAATCATGCTACAGTCTTACTACCGAAAACTGAGAGCTGATTGAACTGATTTATTAACGTACAATGTCGCACAAAAGTAAAAAGAAACGAATTTAGTGTGACAAAACTAGACGAATATAGACGCCACTACTTCGCTATTACGGGGTGCCATCGACAATTATACATCTCATCCAACAGCTGTACGATGATGCTGCATGCCAAGTAATCCACAATGGGAAACTTACGGAATCCTTCCAAGTGAGGACAGGAGTAAGAGAAGCTGGCTGCCTACTACCACCAATGATTTTCCTGATTGCAGTAGACTGGATAATGAGACAAACAGTGGGCAATGAGGAAACAGGCATAAAATAGACTCACACAAAAATAGAACATGGAGGATCTGAACTTCGCCGATGATATATGTCTGATTTCCCACAAACTGGAAGATATGCAAGCGAAAAGCAACAAGTTGGCAGAAGAAGCATCCAGAGAAGACAGGACTTCAGGTGAACATAGAGAAAAAAGAGGTGATGAAGATTCCTAGGCAACACCACCAACAGCAACAACAACAGACAGCAGTCAGCATAAATGGGAGGAACCTGAAAGAAACAACCTCTTTTACCTACCTGGGAAGCATCGTTTCAACTACAGGCAGAACTAACGAGGATATCAAAGCAAGAATCGGAAAAGCAAGACAAGCTTTCACTACTCTCAAGTCTGTGTGGAGGTCAACAGCAATCAGCATGAAAAATAAGATCCGGATTTTCAACTCCAATGTGAAGTCAGTGCTACTTACTATACGGATCAGAGACTTGCACTGCGCGTCATAAAGAGCATCTCAAACCAACTACAGACCTTCATTAACAGTTGTCTTCGCTCAACACTCAAGATCAGATGGCTGGCCAGAAAAGATCAGCAACAGGGATCTCTGGCAATGAGCGAACCAACCAGGAACCGACTGTGAAACAAATAGGCAGGAAGAAATGGAGATGGATTGGCCATACTCTGAGGAAACCATCAAGTGACATCACTAGACAAGCCATTGCTCGAGTGGAACCCGAAAGGGAAGCGATGAGTTGGTCGTCAGTGCAAGGGTGACTTGGAGGAGGTCATGTGAAGAGGAGATGAAAACGTGTGGGCAGACATGGAGCCAGGTGAAAACGTTGGCAGAGAACCGAACGCAATGGAGACGCACGGCTGAAGCCCTATGTTCCTCTAGGAATTAAAGGAAATAATAATAATTGTTAACATTATCTGAAAATCAGATATATGGCCCTAACATTGATTAAGGGTCACAACATTGGATTACTGTCAGTGTATGTTATCCCCTCAAAACAGTTTTTTTCATATATATCTGAAGCTAGTAGTTCATTAGTCAAGTAAAAAGAAAAAAATTAGCGATACTGTCATTTCAAGAAGCAATCAATCTTTGCCATCTCAATCAGTCTTCTATGTCTTTCTCCATATGAGAATAGCATTCGAATGATCAGTCGTATACTGTTGTGTTTTGACGTACCAGTAGAAAGAATGAACCGAAATCCCTTCATTAATTCCAGCTACAGCACTGTTACTGTTGTAACTGCAACAGAAATAGTTTGAAGTATGCCTACTGGAAATGATCGAAGCTCTTAGTAATAAATTATCTTTGAAGGCATACAGTCATTCCTATACTCTGTCCTAAGGTTAGTTACCAAACTTAGTTATCACGCAGATGCTGAAATAACTTTTGATTCATGATTTGATCGAACTGGACGGCCCTATGTTTTTTTGTTTTTTTATTCCTTTGCGTTTCCAGTGGAACATAGGGCTTCAAGCTAGAGACTTGAAGTTTCTGTAGCAGTGGTGTTTATTTTTTACGGGATGGGGTTGCTAGCTTCATGCCCAACCTTCTCCCTTTACCAATGTTATTACTGGTTTTAGCAAGGTGAAGGAGTGTGTCGGCCGGGGATCGAACCCCGGACCACCTACGTGATCGGCGAGCATTCTACCTCTGTGCCACCGACGCACACACTTCCCTATGTTACTTAACATTATATGCCTAATTTCAATATTACATATCGTACTGCATCATCTAACACATGATTGGACACCGACATCTCTAATGAAAACTGCTTACGATTTGCATATCTCCCACTTTGAAAGGCCCCATATCTCACAGTTTTAAAGTACGATGGAGCGAACCGCTGCACAGTACACATCTCTATTTTAATGTATTAGCTGGATATTATGACGTCTGTACCAAAAATCACGAAAGTTGGCAAGTATTAAACGAGTCTTTTGGAATTCATGCTAAGATTACGTCAGTAATCGGTTCAACAATGGTGATAAAACTTATCAAATAAATGAAGTGGGTGAACATTACGATATTATAATATAAAGATCTAGGTAGTTAGTTACACAAGAGACCAACCGATGGACAGTCTAGGATATGTTTAAGTGCAAAATCAAAAGCGATGCCCAATGTCGTATATGCTTTCGACACTATAAGGCACATTATACCATAGTAGTCAGATCGAATTGGAATGTTTAATTAGTTGACTACAGGTTAAATATGCTTTAAACGGCCGAACTTCATTTCCATTAACAATTTTATTGTGACTTTATGTCAACTTTTGAAGTCCTAATATACTAGCAATTTTCAAGAGTATTTACTGGTAATAAGTGGGTGGTGTATTTTAGATATATCGATTAGCACAAGTTATTGTTTGGCATACTATATAGAAGATATTATTCTACTTTCATGACATATTACTGATTGTTAATTGCTTACACATTACAAACATCGGAAAAAATATTGAATATTGATTGTTATGTGCTCTGTGTATATTTATCTCACTAATGCTTCAGTGAATCTAAGGCGAGTATTCAGAACCGTATGAATGGAATGTTGGATATGCTCCGGAACAACTACTCATGTTAACCAGCCGAGTTTTCAGCTAACTTTTAAACACATTTGTTATATTTACTGACTACAAGATGACGTTTCCTGGAGTTCAAGTGAGAAGTCATGGCTAGTGGGGTTCTAACACGTCAAGTGTAAGGATAAATACTTGTCGGATGACATTCGCTGGCAGTTGCACCACAATCGCGAATTGACAAAAGTCAGAATTAATGGGCTAGCCGTCAAAGGATTCTGCCCCAGAGGCTGAATGATAAATGAGCTCGCCTTGTAATTTTAACGTCTTGGTTTTGATCTCCAGTAGGGTTATTGAATATTCCAAAACTACGACGACGAAACAACTGTCCAGAACTCCCTGGTTTCCAGTGGTTCTCTCACTGATATCAGTCCGTAATCAAACACTTGACACATTTACAACAGTTAAAAAGTGTTATATTTATGCTGTATTAATTTCGCGGATGATTTATGTTTGATGTCACACAAAATCGAAGACTTACAAGCGAAAACCGACCGACAAACTGGTCGAAGAAGCAGCCAGAGAAGACAGGACTCCAGGTGAACATAGACAAGACGGAGGTTATGAAAATAACTAACCAATCAACAACAACAACAACATCCAGCGCCAATCACCATCAACGGGAGGGATTTGATGAAAGAGGTTACTTCATTCACTCATCTAGGGAGCATTGTCTCAACTACAGGAGGAACGGACGAGAAGGTCAAATCGAGAATCGGGAAGGCGAGAAACACATTCATCAACCTGAAACCAATCTGGAAATCTTCGTCACTCCTCAGCATCAACAACAAAATTCAGATTTTCAATACAAACGTCAAGTAAGTCAGTTCTTCTATACGGATCAGAAACTTGGCGGGTCACAAAGAATATTTCCAACAGCCTGTTGCAGACCTTTATCAACAACTGTCTTCGCTGGCTCTATACTGAAGATCAGATGGCCGGAAAGAATCACCAGGAAGAAACTATGAGAACAAACAAAACAAGAACCAATCGCTCAACAAATATGCAGGATAAAGTGGAGATGGATTGGACACTCGCTGAGGAGGCCGCTGGGTGACATTGCACGTCAGGCCATCACTCGAGTGGAACCCGGAAGGGAAGCGGCGAGTGGGACATCCAAAGGTGACATGGAGGAGATCGTGTGAAGAGGAGTTAAAACAGTATAGACTAACATGGATACAGGTGAAAAGTACAGCAGAAGACAGAAACAAGTGGAGACGTGCAGTTGAAGCCCTATGTTCCACTAGGAACCCAAGGGAACAATAATAATATAATAATAATAATTTAGACACATTATTCTAAATAATGACAAAGACTACTAATCAAGGAAGAAAAAGTAACAAAAAGAATGAAACTTACAAAAGATGAAAAGGAAGATAGAATACCACCTGAACTGTCACGCTGTTGCCCAAATTTTCTATATAACATGAAAAATAAATACCAGGATGTTAGTTATGTACAGTATTTAAAAAATAATAATAAAAGAATCATAGGGATGAAAAACTTCACTTTTTCTTAGCGAAACAGTATGTTCTCTTAATCTGTTGCTCTATTGTATAAATATATAGATGGAAGTTGTCGATCTCCTCTGATAATTATGAAGTTATTATTATTTCTTTAGATTCCAAGTGGAACATAAGGGGCTTCAACAGGACATCTCCATTTCATCCTGTTTTCTACAATCCCCTTTTAGCTGGCTCAGTGATTGCCTACAAGCCTTCCATTCCCCCTAAGACGATTTCTTCCATGTCACCGATGGATATCCAACTCGTCATTCTCTTCCCGATTCGAGTGCTACTCGAATTTCTGGCTCATGGTGTCACTCAGCAGTCTCCTAAATGTTCGTCCAATCCATTTCGATTTTCTTCGGCATATTTGTTGGGCGATAGGTTCTTAGCTGGTTCGTTGTCAGAGTTAAATGTTATTAGTTGGAGGATTTCATCATGAGCTGACATCAGTTACAGAACCATTCGAAAACCAACTGAGAGTACCTGACAGCCTTTTCGGCCTAGTTTGAGACTCTTCATCAGTGCGCACCCACACCGCGGAGTTCGAACCCAGGACCTTCCGGTTACAAAACGAGCTAGCTCGTAAACCATCCATCAGTCACTGGTACCCGATCCAATGACCAGCCAGTCCATGAATTCTAACTTCTGCCAATTCATGATATAGCGCGACCACTTCGCAATGTCTTCTTCGATGAGTAACTGTTCTCATCTTCGACCTGCTGTACCCCACTGGTCACGGCTTCCCACTGATGTCTGCTCATGATGAAATCTTCCAACCAATCAAACAAAATCCCTACAAAACAAATACTTGAAAACTGAATGCTACTAGTTCTGAAAGAATACATAATAGCTTCTCAACTCTTTATTCTACAATAAGTTGGGTATTGAATACACAAATTCGTGCAAATATGGGCGTAAACGCCTAATGGAAAAATTGATTTAAATATTTTCCAGGTCTGTTAGAGGTGAATAGCATTCAATAGCATACAATAATGTAGTAATGTATACCAATTAATGTATAGCAAACGGATACAAGTGGAAAAAGTACTCAGTAAATTCAAATATACATTTTCTAAACTTGGCACTTCAAACATACGCAATCTAACTACCAAATCAATAAAATAAACAGAGAATATACTAATCAGGCATAAATATTTTCAATGAACACACAAACATAAGGACAAGAATTAAACACTATAACTTTATATATAATGAATAGCTGTGAATAAGCAAACATTCTAAAATGACCTTAATAAATCACACATTTTAATAGTTCTATTCAACCTGTAGTGATGTCTATTTATACATACATTAGGTAGATTCAATCATATATATATATATATGTAAAATTATATTATTGTTTCCTTTAGTTCCTAAAGGAACATAGGGCTTCAGCCGCACGTCTCTATTGCGTTCGGTTCTCTGCCAACGTTTTCACCTGGCTCCATGTCTGCCCACATCCTTTCATCTCCTCTTCACATGACCTCCTCCATTTCACCATTGCACTGACGACCAACTCTCCGCTCCACCTTCGGGTTCCACTCGAGCGATGGCCTGGCGTGTGATGTCACTTGATAGTTTGTTTTCTTAGAGTATGGCCGATCCACCTCCATTTCTTCCTCCTTATTTGTTGCACAATTGGTTCCTGGTTAGTTCGCTCCCAGAGATCACTGTTGCTGATCTTTTCTGGCTGACCATCTGATCTTGAGTGGTATTGAGCGAAGACAGGTGTTGATGAAGGTCGTGACGCGGCGCCAAGTGTCTGATCCGTATAGTAAGTAGCACTGACTTCACATTGGAGTTGAAAATCTGCATCTTATTTTTCATGCTGAGTGCTGTTGACCTCCACACAGACTTGAGAGTAGTGAAAGCTTGTCTTGCTTTCCCGATTCTTGCTTTGATATCCTCATCAGTTCCGTCGGCCTGTAGTTGAAACGATGCTTCCCAGTGGTAGGTAAAAGAGGTTGTTTCTTTCAAATTCCTCCCATTAATGCTGATTGTTGTCTGTTGTTGTTGCTGTTGGTGGTGTTGCCCAGGAATCTTCATCACCTCTGTTTTCCCTATGTTCACCTGAAGTCCTGTCTTTGCTGCTTCTTCTGCTAACTTGTTGCTTTTCACTTGCATATCTTCCAGTTTGTGAGAAATCAGACATATATCATCGGCGAAGTCCAGATCCCCCAAGTATTTTGTGTGGGTCCGTTTTATGCCTGTCTCTTTGTTGCCCGCTGTCTGTCTCATTATCCAGTCTACCGCAATCAGGAAAATCATTGGCGATAGTAGGCAGCCAGCTTGTCTTACTCCTGTCTTCACTTCCAAGGATTCCGTGAGTTTCCCGTTGTGGATTACTTGGCATGCAGCATTGCCGTACAACTGTTGGATGAGATGTATAATTGTTGGCGGCACCCTGCAGTAGGGAAGTAGTTGCCAAATCACCTCTCGATCAACGCTGTCGAAGGACTTATATATATGTATATATATGTATATATATCAAAAATTATTCAACAACTCTGTGTTGTTAACATTTAAATTATGGATTTTTGTAGGGATCAGGACAAAAGTTGGAATTCATAGGTCACTAATTTTGGGCATAGGTGGTTGAATAGTCAACGAGCTTAGACCAGTAACCTGGTAGTCGCACGTTCGATCCCTGTTGGAATCATGGATGCACACTGCTGAATAGTTTAGGACGAGACAGCTATTCAGTGCTCTTTAGGTTTTCAATGATCTCCAGTTGATGATGTTGGTTTGTGACGAAATTCGTTAACACTTAAAGGTGAAACTTACAAGTTGAACTCAGACAAAGCGAGAGCAACGGTTGAGAGTATACTCTAAAATGAAAAAGAAAAAAACAAAAACAAATGAGAATCACTGCTATTATTATGCTGTTAATAAATCAATCAATAGTACTGTATTTTCACACCAACTCAGCTGGATTTAGAAGCAGTTTCTGTTCTCATTTTGATGAGACAATGAGTTGGGTGAATATCGAACCAATCAATCTATCTATCTATCTATTCTAAGATCACATTAACTAGAAATCAATACACAAATTTGTATTTAGATAAGGGAATAATCAGATGAAGTATAAAAGCCGTCTCTCTAAGAAAGTTTACTGCTGGCAGTGGCACCAAAACTATAATCATTTCTATTCTTGATGCCACATTTAAGTTTCAGAACAAGAATGATCTGAGCGGACAATTATCTTCACTAACTTCATACATTTATTCCCCTTGATGAAATTGAATAAAGCAAGAAGAACAGTGGTTTGTGCAGAATAATATGGTAACATCATTGTTCGTTTCGTTGGCTTCTCATCAGCTGCTTGCTTACAGTCTAAATAAATTATTTTTAAGTTCATGTACAGAAATGTTTTAACATACTTGCAAGTTTGCCGAAGCAATTTCTATCAAACGCTTGAAACCCAATTTGTGTGTTCAGAAAAAAGCAGTTATCAGTCTTTCTTTGCCCTGGTAACTGGATGTCTTCACTCACTCCCTCCCTTTCACTTGATTGCGTAATCTTTGGCTTCAACCCGACCCCTCTTTATATAGTGTAATTTTGCTTGTCTCTTGTTTCTATGATTTGAGTTGAACTCAGTACATTGTTACCTAGTGAATTAGTCATTCATCATTTTACGCATCTCTCGTCTTTATTGCGTAACTCCTTTATCATTGTATGCATACACTCTTACTTTGTTTAAACTTGAACTGCCTGTGTTAAAACTATATAAGCGTGATTTTCTGAGCACTGTTCATCAATTGTAGAACCTCCTGTCAATTGACATCATGTAAAATTTGCAAGTATGTTGAAACATTTCTGTACATGAACTTAAAAATAATTTAACTGTAAGCAAGCAGCTGATGAGAAGCCAGCGAAACAAACAATGATGGTACCATATTATTCTGCACAAACCACTGTTCTTCTTGCTTTATTGAAATTATAGAAAAGAAAAGGCGTTCAGCAAAGAGTTACTCTTTTCTGCGATATCATTCTCAAGCTGTACAAACCGCAAATTTATAGTAATTTGTCTTGGCAACAAAAGGAATATTTCCAAAGATGTGTTAGTGCAATTGTTAATTTTTGACAACAAATTACGTAATTTAGAAGGCGTTAATCGGTTAGAAACTAAAATAAAGTTACTAAAGTAGGTTGGGTGACGTAATCTAATTGCTAGGGTTCAATGAAAAATGAATCTGAGTAGAATTCACTTGAAAATGAATGAGAGTTAGGTTAATAAGCTGAGTAGAATTCACTTGAAAATAAATCAGAGTTAAGTTGATAAGCTGAGTAGAATTCACTTAAAAATAAACGAAAATGGAGTTAGCAACAGTCGTCATGAGGGTAGAGATTTAATAGAGGGTGGGGGTAGAAAATAATGCAATTAAGAAACAGACAAACAAAGAAGAAAGAGGTAAGACAAAATTACGTATTTGGTGTTGAGATAGATCAGGACCATTGTAGATTTAGTGACTGAACAAACTTCTTTTGTATGCAGAGTTCAGGATTCAATATGTGAATTGCCATTGCTTCTGCAGTTTGAAGAAGTTTAATTCGTACTCTTTTGGCAAGACTCCCACGTATTGTGTAGATAACTGAGAAGTTGTTTTGTGGGTTTGCTCGGTGTCCGGATTCGATCAAGTGTTCTAAAATAGAGCTATGGCAGGGGGATCTTCTTTCTCCTTTATTGAAATTATCTTCAATAATTATTTTCTTCAGGCTCTACAGTTATAAATCAATGAATGTTAGAAGACTGAACTTACACTACGCTTACTTGTCTACAATATTTGACAACAGTTCACCATATGACCACTATATTTTATAATCATTACTACTTTTATTTGTCATTGTTTGAACTCACATTCACCTTACCTCCATTTGTTTGTTTCCATACATACGATTTGAGTGGTCACAGGATTTCATCATGATCTGACATCAGTTAGAGAACCATTGGAAAACCAACTGGGAGTACTAGACAGCCAGTTGTTTCATCAGCCTAGTTTGGAACTCGTCATTTGTACTCACCTATCAGGATTTTGAACCTAGGGCTTTTTGGTTACAAGGCGAGCTCGTAGACCATTAAGCCATTGGGACCCGATCCAATGACCAGTCCATGAATTCTGCCAACTTCTACCAATCCAAGCTATAGAACAACCACTAGCTGCCAATGTCATCGGCGAGTATTTGTCTTGACACCCGACCGGTTGTACCCTCATTGGTCACGAATTCCCACTATGTACCCGAATAAAACCATAATTGTTTATCCACGTTTTATTTTATATTCTTAATAACAGTACATTTCATTTCCATTTATATGACAATTAAAACCAACAGACTATTACTCTATGATATATTTGTACCCCAATACAGTTTCTGATATCAGACTAATTTGCCTTTACTGGCTATTGCATTCTAACTAACTTGCATGGATTTATAACTGTATAGTGTGAGAATAATTGTAAGCTCAAATTCTTCGTGTTCTGAATATTATACACACTATGAAGATATATACATATTACTAAAAACAAACAGTTAACCTGTCATTATCAAGTCATGACAATTTTCTGTCCAGATGATTAAGCAACAAGGAACTTACATTTAACAACAATTCATCTTCTGTCTGGTGTATAAGTGTTTGAAAAGAATTTACTGGCTGTTAAAGAAAAAAAAGAAAATGCATAAGTTATTAGCATGTAAATACATGCTGAAAATTCAATGAGAAAAAGAAGCCCACTAAAATCTTCTCCACTACTACTGATAATTAACAAGAGACGTGTCAATGCTGGTGAACATTGAATCGTTTGTTTGTTCGAAGTGGTCTCCATTTTGGCGGGAGACAAGAAGGTTGTCACTGCTTAATTGTGTACTGGTTAGCAGAAGATTAGAGAAATACAATCAGAAGTATTGTTGTACATTATATTAACATTTATTTACAGACTTTGGTACTGATTAACCACTGTAAATCTGTTTCGTTATCGCTTGAGGAATAAACAATCGGGTTGCTCAACAGTTTTCTGTTGTTCTGCAAAGATTACAGTGCATAGTATTCGGCGTATTAGGCTTAGTCTTCGGAAACCTGAGATATGGGTCTAGGATCTTTGCGATCTAAATATTTGACAAGACGAGTAAACCATATATGGCAGACTATAAGATGAGATTATTTGACTTATTAGCTTTGTCAGCCTAGTGACCTCAAGCTAACACATTTCTAAGTGTCACTATACACAGTAATACAGTTATGGAAGTTTGGCATGGAAAAGGAAACAATTGTCTCCCTTATCTGTGAACTAATTGGTAAGAAGCATTCATGGTAGGTGCTGACGTTGTCACTGGTTAACTATCACCATGAATATATGAATATATATATATATGTAAGTCCGAAGAAGACATTTCTAACAGCCACCTTACGTATCACATACTCCAGCAGACAGTTAATCCAGTCTAACGTTAAGGATAAGATACCGCTTTTGGCCACTTCAATGTGTATTTATCAATTTACTTGCTCGTGTGGAGCAAAGTATATCGGCTGTATGCAACGTCAAGTCCACAAACGTATTCTAGAAAACTGTCCAGCTTGTTTAGCCAGAGGAGAAAAGAAGAATAGCAGCAGCTCTATCCTCGAACACCTTGCCATCTCCGCACATCAAGCACCCCTGCATGAATGTTTCACAATGCTACACAGAGTCCCTCAATATCGTACAAAGGGACTTCGCATACGCCATCTGTACATAGCTGAAGCATTAGCTATTCGAGATTTGAAACCAGACCTCTGCATTCAAAAGCACTACATACATTATCTCGCCCTACCATGGCCAGAGTATAGTCCTTACTACAATTTTGCTTCCTTCTTTTATTATCTAAGTTCACTATTATTATTATTGTCAATACTTTTATTATCATTATTATTGCCATCATCCATATTTTATTACCACTCTATTACTGCTTGTTAATAACATTGCTTTTTCATATAGATTTTATATAAAACACTTTATCGCCTTCCTACTAGTTGCTGTCCATTCTACATCAGCTTATTGATTAGTCATTATCTCACACTTGTTACGTCATACCAACTTCTTCCTCTTTTCTAACTTACTATTAGTCATCCCTTCTAGGTTACACCTTACATTATCTAATACATCGGTGGCACAGCGGTTAGGACTCTCACCGACCGTGCACATGGTCCGGGGTTCGACCCCCTGCTAACGCACAACTGATATCTATGGTCGGCCTACAAAATTTGGGCTACCGATATCACATGCTGAAAATTCCATACTTGTACCAAAAATACTGTGTGGTTTCAAGCTATAATCAAAATTTTAAAAAATAAAAAAATACATATTTCGAGGACAAAGTTTACCAGTATCTCATTGGTCTAAAGGTTTCTTCGTTTAATATATTATTACGATTGTACAGCTAATGAAAATGAATCGTCGAAAAGGAAATTTTCTTCGCTGTCTACGCCTTTTTCTCATATATATATATATATATATATATATATATATATATATATATGAATAACTAGTGCATTGTATTTAATTCCTTGGACCGATTAGAAGACTGAAAGATCTGACGACCATATCCGAATTTCAAACACCAAAGTCAAGCCAGTGCTTCCATACAGATCAGAGACTTGACACGTCAAGACAAGCACTTCAGACTGTCAACTACAGGTGTCTCTTTCTCTCCATACTGAGGGTCAGATAGCCAATTGGAAAGGATAAGCACCAAGGAACTCTGATGGGCTACGAAACAACAAAGAACCTACTGCTCAAGAAATACGCTGAAAGAAATGGACATACGTTGAGGGAGGGTCGCTGAGTGAAATCAAACGTAGTGGAGTCCTAATGGAAAACGAAGATCAGGGCGTTGGTTCGGTGGTGACAAAAAAGAGATCGTTTGAGCAGGAGAAGTGAGGATACGGTTATTCGTGGAAATAGATGAAGAGGACTTCAGAGAACACGATAAAATGGAGATGTGTTGCTGAAACCTTATGTTTCACATGGAAGCCAGGGAAATAATAATAATATCCTTGATTTTAAAAAAACCCACTGAAACAGTACTTCCTGAAGACTTATTTTTCCACCTGGGACTCAAGGAATGAATAAATAAGAGGATATTGATAAGTTAAACTGAAGATTTAGCTTCGGTATAATTGGAAAGCACTTCAATAAACGCAAAATATTTGAGACCTGAAAAATGTCTTTGTATACTGCACTGATATTAAAAATGATCCTGTATTAATACGGAAATGATAGGTTAAATCAAATATTTGTCAAAGGCTAATTTATAAAGTTATAACTCACTTCATCAGTTGTATATTGTAACAGCAAGCCAAGAAATCTGCAAGCAGTTACACCATGATAATATCTCAGCTGAGGATTGGTCAATGTGTTCATTACTAAATCATAAATGCGATCGTCTAGAAGACTAGCTACAAACGGATTCTTGTCCAAGGATGAAGTAACCTAAGTTTAGAGATAAAATATAATGAAATTTAAATCTGAATTATAATTTAAGAATGTAAAACTACAAGCTTTCACTAGTAGTATGAAAATAGATATGAAAGGTTGGTGAATTGGTTATGTATTAACTGTGGTTGCCATGCTTTACACACACACACACACCACAACCAATTAGAAGGCAAACAAGAGAGAAATTATTTTTTATTCCACTTTTTGAACCCCGGTGGGTGCGTACTGATGAAGAGTCCCAAAATAGGACGAAACTGCTGTCCAGTACTCCCAGGTTTTCCAATCGTTCTCTAACCAATGTCAGCTCATGATGAAATCCAATCAACCAAATCCCTACAAACCAATACTTGGATATTTTTTATTCCATTTGAGTTCGAAGTGGAACATATGGCTTCAGACTTGAGACCTTGAAATTTCAGTAGCGGTGATGTTGGTTTCACGGCGAAGGGTCTCTTTTCGGAGAATTGATTTTCTTAGCTGTACAATCGAAAATATATATAGGTTATTCTGTATGTATGTGTACATTAAGTTTGTCAAACAAAAATACAATTGGTTGTGGTTATTTTAACTAAACAGGTGAGAATTAGTAAGTTTTGGGTGGAGTTACGTAATACGAAAACGGTCAAGAAAATTGGGTGTTAATGAAGCTAGGGTAGTAATAAAGTGATGAGTTGTCACAAACAGTTGTTAGAAAGGAGTTACGTAATGATATGAATAGTTTGGTGATTGAATTGTACTCAGGATGCACATAGAAACAAAGTAGAGAATATGAAATTACGTAAGATTTCCAAATAAATACAAGGATTATAAGCAATTAGAGAGAAGAGCAGACAAACAAAATTAGGTCATCAAAAATCAACAAAGTTGTTACTATGATAATAGAATTGGTTGAGTAATTCTCTTTTGCATGCACAGCACCGGTTTGTCTATGTGAATATCCACAGCTTCAACAATACAAATGAGATGAAAGTGTACTGCATTTGGTAGGTTACTCTTGACTCTGCAGATTACTTTGAAGGAGGCGTTTGTTGAAATGGAATGATAAGTGTTAACCAGGTGTTCAATTATCGCACTCCTCATAGCACCACTATTACTTTTTCGCAACCATGCAGGATAGTGTTCTTGAATCCTCTCGGACAGGATGCGCGTCGAACGATCGATGTACCTGGCTCCACAGCAGCAGGTGAATTGATATATGCACATACTACTGATCGGATGCGGGATCGTGTCCTTAAGGCTTCCGTAGATCAGGGGCAACTGGAGAACACTATTCTTAGCGTAGCTGCTCCAGGGTACAATTCAATCACCAAACTATTCATATCATTACGTAACTCCTTTCTAACAACTGTTTGTGACAACTCATCATCTTTGTTACTAACCCAGCTTCATTAACACCCAATTTTCTTGATCGTTTTCGTATCACGTAACTCCACCCAAAACTTACTAATTCTCACCTGTTTAGTTAAAATAACCATAAACAATTGTATTTTTGTTTGACAAACTTAATGTACACATACATACAGAATAAACTATATAGATTTTCGATTGTATAGCTAAGAAAATCAATTCGCCAAAAAGAGACTCTTCGCTGACCTACGTGTTTTTTTTCCATTTATACTTGTATCGCAACTGAACTCAGTATTATTGCTGCCTCGATTGAAATGGAATAAGATGGAATTAATTCGCCACTTAAATCTGACGGTTACAATTACAGTTATATGGTTTCGGGCCGCGCTTTAACATAGTGATGACAAAAATAGTAACGAAAATCAATCTTACTCTAGTAACTGGAATCAGGTGATCGCAGATAATTTCGTTTTCTAATCCAAGGTCAATTAGATATTTATTTACATTAAACAAATAGTTTTGTGTTGCTGTATTCTCGAAATCTTAACGACAAAAGCGTGCATACGAAACATATTGATACACAAGTCATTGTACAAACCTGTGACGTTAGAATTATGATGTTTTTAGTGAACTTAGCAAATAAGAGTAAACTTCTGAGAATCTAATAGACTGATGGTATACGATATATCGTGAAGCTATTCAAATACATTAGAATAACTCTCTCGAAATACCATTTCACTTATAATCCTTTGCGTTTTTTAATGACTTAGCAACATATCTTATACCGTCAGTCAGCTAATCTAAGGTACTCGCACTTGATCATAGGGCATTTATTATTGTTATTATTATTATTGTTTCCTTTAATTCCTAGAGGAACATAGGGCTTCAGCCGTCCGTCTCCATTGCCTTCGGTTCTCTGCTAGAGTCTTCACCTGGCTACAAGTCTGTCCACACGTTTTCATCTCCTCTTCACATGACCTCCTCCAAGTCACCCCACTCTCGCACTGATGACCAACTCGCCGCTTCCCTTTCGGGTTCCACTCGAGCAATGGCTTGTCTAGTGATGCCACTTGATGGTTTCCTCAGATTGGCCAGCCAATCCATCTCTATTTCTTCCTGCCTATTTGTTTCACAATCGGTTCCTGGTTGGTTCGCTCCCAGAGATCCCTATTGCTGATCTTGATCATAGGGCATTTAAGAGTATTGAATCACAATTACCTAATCCATATATAAAGTAAATAAGGTTTTTCAAGGTTAGTGAGGTGCAGTATGTGAAGGTTATCAGTCCACTCTTATATTTGGAACAGTAGGTTGTTACAGTGTTACGAGCCTGTCGCTAAAATATGTGATTTCGTCTAACTTGACTAGAATGTGCCCCCAGAACACGAGACTATAACCAACCGATCACTTGAAATGATCTCCCACACTGAGGTGGACACAAAAGTCAGATTGAAAAGAAAAACGACGACCAAAACGACAACAATCATAACCTTTTATTACACAAAATACATGGTATCCTATATTAACAAATCCTCAGAAAATTAAGCCATAAATAAACCAATCAAAACTGTCCAATATGATTATTATATCAGTGTACATGCATGAATCATGACTTCGCGGATAACAAAGAAGCTTGACCGTCTTAGTGTACACTCACCACAAATTTCTTAAAAACAGCTTGTAAGAGCCTAATTCTGACCAGTTTAGTTCATTCAATCGTATGCTTGACTAACTAATTTTAACAAGCATGCTACATGTCAAACTTCTCATAATTAGTGAATATATATATATATATATATGTATAATATATATATATATCATCAAAATTCAGCACGTTTCCTCATAATGATTGAAGAATTACTAATTTGACGATGACTGTCTGTCTTCTGTCTGTTTTCGACATAAAACTTTGCACATATGTGCGGCAGTTCAAGTCGCCACACTCCCTCCATGTAGCACACAAAGCAAGAGAAGAAAGTAGGAGAAATGCATAATATAGACAGTAAACAGAGGTGTGAGACAAAGGAATAGTAATAACGAAGAACAAAACAGTTTCATTGGAAATCATAAGTCACAAGGAGTGGATGCATCTGCGCCAGCCATTGAGAACGATTTTGAGCCATCTCACCAATTGTTTCCAACCATTGGTTTTTACCGTCCCGAGGACCCCAACCAGTCAGGAAGTCTACACCTACCTACGTGGCTTAGACTAACTGTTGTAGATTTCATTGACTGGTGCCATGTTTTCGTTTGACCGCCGCTAGCTCTTTTCCAGCCTGACCCTATATCAGCTAACATTGCCCGTCAGTCGAGGAAGGCGATGACTAGGCATACGTAACACATGTCCTAACCATCTCAGTCGATGTAATTTCACAGTCTCGTCGACTGATTTTCCCTCCTTACCTTGACGATGAAGAAAAAAATATCTTTGAGAAGTATGATTCATTTGTCGGATTAGTTATAAAACTTACTGAGGCAAATGTCAACATTGAATTGAATATGAGACTACGAAGTGGTTCTGGTCTGTCTTCACGAACTAGTTCAACGCATAGTAAAATATAATTCTATAATATATACATAAAAGAACACAAACGAATAGATAAGGATTTAGCAAATGCAATAATCAAATAATGCCAGATTGTAAGGGAAGTAAATAAATTATGTTTTAATGAAAATGTGATATATATATGTATATATATAGCTTGACTGCATGACAGTTTACCCAGGTGGTTTACAGAAATTTGAATTCGAGAATAGCATTCGGATATGTAATGAACAGGCAAGGGGCTTCAGTTAGGTCTTACCTAGTAAACTAAGTAAACAATATTGGACGTGTGCTAGGAATCAATGTTTGGAGACTACCAGTGGTAAGGGTTGAAATATTGAGAGCATCATAAATATGTTTACTCCTTTACATCTCCCAGATTCTGAAAATCTTCACTAACCTTCATATAATTGTACTCGTTATATATTCATTCACTCATTCATCGTAGCTTCATTACATTTCAACTTCCTTACTTTTGTGTGTCTTCCCTAAAGGTATCATTTACAATGATGAACATTTTTGGAGTTCTCTGTTGATGAGTCGACCGGGTATACTGATTTGAAAATAATTGTGATTAGCTATATGGATCTACTGTATATTCTGAAGAAACATTTAATGGCTATATTATTACCAGAAATGAAGCTTTAGCTTTTGTTTACGAGCAGATTAAAAAATAATCTTAATTTTAAATTTACTATGGTAAACTAACCTCCATGAAATGCTTGATGTGTTCTGGTCCTAAGAGAATTTCACTTAAATCTTCATTTATGCTTGCTGATGATCTACATTTGTAAACGCCACTTAGAAGGCAATCCAATGTTTGGATGGCATTAGCGATTCGAATACGATGTCTATCGTATTGAGCTGTTTGAAGGCACTGGATAAATAATCTATTGAGTTGAGGCTATCAAGGAAGAATAAAGGTCCAATAGTTAATCCAACATAACAGTAAATTGAATGATCATGATATACAGAAAGAACTAAAACCATAGGGAATATGTTCTTTAGAGGTGACCAAAATTAGCTCCTAAATGTTTCGGCTAAAATCACCATCAAGTCGAAACGATAGTGTTATAACTGTCTTTAACTATCGCCCACTGCTGGTTTACTTGACTACATAAATCCCAATATGTTTCCAAAATGCGTCTAATTGTGTTTGTTATTGCAATTCACAAAGAGCGTTCCTGCTATCGATGTTAGTTATTTGGATGTTCATGTGTCCATATTTGTGCTGCAATTACAACTCAATAAAGTTCTTCCAATAGGGATAGTAGATTGTGACGGTTACCATTCAACCATTGCGTACAAGTTTGTCTTTTGAGTCTTCATTTTTCCGGCAGATGACCTATGAGACTCAGTTAAGTACAATTACATAGTCACACGTTATATTTTGGTCATACATGTAAAGATTTGAAGTCCTTTTACACCCATGAAGGTTTTAAACGGATATGTGGCTTATCGGATCAAGCAGTTCACTTGGAGTCAATAGATCCAGCGACGGAGTCCCTCGCCCCCTATATTAGCGCGGAAAACTGATTAGTTTTATCAGTCTTAAGACTGAGAGTTTCAGCCATTGGGAAATCAAATTACCAGATAACGCAGGTCGAGCACTTGATTGAGTGCCTTACTTAAGCACGAGTGTTTCATTCATTTTATTAGCCCTTTGAAAGGAAATATAATACTATTATTACATAGTGGTGACGACTAAATTAATTTAGGTCGACAAAATTGCATCACATTATTAGAGGACTACAACTAAAAAGTACTCAGTACAAACTCAGAACTGATTTGTCAGAGTCTATAACTTTAGCTGAGTAATCCATCACTGTAAACCCCTCAATCGACTAACACAGTTTGAGCAATTGCTCACCAGTTAAGAGCATATAATTTATCAAAGCTCACAACTCAGATATGGCGCGATAGTATTGAAAAATAAAAGAAACTTACCTTTAATCGCACGAGGTCCTCCCAATTTGTCTTTTCGAAGTGTGCAGACAAGCATTTAAGATTAGGCTAAGCATAAATCCATAAAACATAGCAGTTACTTTCAATAGGAAGAAATCGTCCCAAAACTCTGCCCTCCCTTGTGTTATATCTTGCCCTTGAAACAACTTGTCGTATATTTGAAGAACTTTCTCCTTCAGTGAACCCCTCTGAGTCTTTTTACGTTCTGTAACCGTAGTCATTTTCAAAACGAGAAAGGTCACAGGTGATCCGATAACCTACACCTGTCATTCAAATAAACAAAACTTTGGAATGGTTTGAAGTCAGTATTTCGGTCTTGAAAAGACACGTATAATACACAATAATTTCTTCTTGACAAATATACTTATGTGTTTCAGGGTTTCGATTTGTTAGTATTATGTCATTATTATTATTGTATATGTAACTCTCTCAAAAGATGAACTACCCCATTTTCTGAGGTTCTGTTAGTCGATCTACATTAGGTTCAGTATGTGTGCGGCTCACTCATGTAAGTTGCTGGCCTTTCTCGCAATATAAGTTGATGCAAAATGACATGAACCGCATTATTCAAAGTAGTGATGATCTGTCACTTCCAACTCAACTTTGTTGTTATTGCTGAGAAAATGCACCTTCACTGGTCTACAAAAGATTCCTGAGTCACTTTTTTATAGCAAACGCTGATTAAATAGGACCCAATACAGTAATACTTGTGTTCGTGTAGTCATGAATTTCCAAAATAGTTCCAATCAGAAAGAAGGAGTCTCGACTGAACAAGATGTTTCGACGCAGGCATTTCGACTCCCTATGAAAGGGATCCGATATTTCACCTAATGATGAGCCATTTAAATGTGATCTCAGTGGTTTGTAGACAAGCTATCTTTCTATACACATCCTTCACTTTCAGACAGGTTAAAATACATGAGTATCTCGTATGCAACATTCTTCCTTTCTTTTTCTTGAAGCCTGTGGACAAGTCTACGACTACATTCTAAGAAGGATAATTCTCCTAAGCTACCTGCCTAAAAGAGAGTGACATAGTCATCTGTTTCACAAAACGTCTGTTTACTGGTCTCATTTTGCACTGCAGCAACACGTTTTAACATCCTCAAATTAAATCGGGTGCGTGCTAGTACTAATGAGGAGCCTAAATAACCTTTTAGTGAGTGGCGATGATTAACTAAATAAATAAATAAATAAATAAATTTATTCTCATAGTACAGTACATGAGGGACGCCAGTTTACAGGCATCATCAAATTGTTACAGAAATAGAACCATATAATTTAATCACAATTTACAGCCAGTAGCAAGATATGCTTTACATGTTCGATGGAGATTATACATACACTTGATAAATGTTAATTCCAGTAGTATAAAACAGCCTTTTCACTTATATACAATCATTTCTGTGCAAAGTTGGAAAAATCTGCTAGATTGTCAGTGAGTGCAACACAACAGGAAATACAGGAGTATTGTCTTCGCATTAACAAAAAAACCAGGTCTTTGGTGGATGGATTATAAGTGCCTGGGAAAAAAATAAAGCTTGAAGTAAATATTCATACATAACTTTGTTGTGTGCAGAGTCCTCGAATTATAGTTCATTGATGTGTTATTTTGAAATCAGTGATGTGTTTATCTCATTTGATCTGCAATCTCATTGTTGGGAGTAAGTACATAAGCTTCGGACGCATTAATTAATGGATTTCTACTGATTACGGGTATTTTCTTAGCGTGAGGAAGGTTTATGTATTTCAGCTGTTCCGACAGGAGTTGAGAATATTAACTGCTCAGCAACATTATGGGTATAAGTTCATCACATTATCTAAGGAAAGGTGGGTTGCAGTTGGTGACGGATATATGGTGCCCAACGAGCGTTCATCTGTCCTTGTGATGTTGTGGTGAGTTATACCTTTTTCATGTTGTCGGTTTATGTCCATTTTATTCCACTTATTGTGTTGGGTAGTAGTTTTACAAACGAGATTTCTTGTCTGTTTGAGGATACGTATGTTAACCGTTAATGTTTTATCTAGAATTATAAATATAGGCAAAAAACAACAGGTGTAGTATTTAAGCTTATACATTAAATGGACCTATAATTTCGGAGGCTCTCAGATAGGAACTAGAACTAATATCGTTTGCAAACTCTTGTAGTTTGTCATTAAGCACCTTTTTGAAGGAGGCCAATGTACTTGCTTGACGCATTTCCATTGGCAGTTTATTCCATATCTGTGCATACCTAATCAAGTAAAACTTTTGCCTGGTGGCTGTTTTACATTGTTCGATAGCTACTGTACCCTTAGTGTGTCTTAGTTTGTAGCCATTGTCATCTGAAAGTCGAGTGCCATTAGTAGAGGTAAAAACTAAGTGGTTTAGAAGCTTATAGTAAAGTGTCAAGTTTAGTCTCAGGCGTCTTAGCCATAGTGTTTCTAGTCCTAGGGTATCACATCTAGTGGAGTAGTTCGTACCATTTCCGGTTCCGAGTAATTTTAACGTGAAGTACCTCTGCACTCCCTCGACTTTCAATTTGTCCTCTATGCGTATGCTACTATACATGAATGAACAGTAATCGAATAAAGGACGCACACAAACCTTGTACAACAGAATTCTAGACTCATTTCTGTAGAAGTTCCTGAGTAGAAAGCCGATAAGTCTGCGTGACTTTGACACTTGTTTGGAGATGTGTTCAGAAAATGATAAGTTATGTGAATATTTCAGCCCTAGGTCCAGTACAGATTCCAGTCGTTGAAGTGCATGGCCTTGAATTGTCAGGTCAAGTTCTAAGTTGTTGCAACCTATGCAGAGCCAGCCACATTTTTCGACATTAAATTGGAGTTGCCAGGTGTCACACCATCTATCCATTTTTTCTAATTCTTGCTGTATGGCGTTTACTGTTATTCCAAGATCTGTGTTCTTGCATTTATACGTCACTTTTAAGTCATCTGCATATAGTATTGGTTTACCTACACTAAAGCATTCACAGATACTGTTTATATATATTATGAATAAGAGTGGGCCTAATACACTTCCCTGGATTACACCACTACTTACTGGTTTAGGCCTTGAGATTATCGAGCCAACTTTCGTTGTCTGACTTCGGCCACAGAGAAATGATTTTATCCAGCTCAGGAGAGGATCACATATCCCTAGTGAGCATAACCTGCTGACTAGCAGATTATGGGGAACTCTGTCGAAGGCTTTTGTTATATCGAAATAGAGCACAATTACTAGTTCTCTGTTGTCCCTACTTCGTGTAACTTCATTGAAAAAGTCTATGTGACAGGTCACGCATGATCTCTTTTTGAGAAATCCGTGTTGTGATGGATTGATAAGTTCATGTTCTAGTAAGTTGTCTGACACTTGTTCTTTAACCACTTTCTCCATTATTCGGGATATTACCGGTGTTATATTGATAGGTCTATAGTTGCATACACTGGTTTTGGCCCCTGCTTTGTGCTTAGGTAATATGTATGTGGTTTTCCACACTTCAGGATAAGTTCCAGTTTCTAATGAGAGAGTAAATATTCTAAGTAACAAGACTACCATTTCCGTGCTACCATTTTTGTACATGACAGATGGTATGTCATCTGTTCCAGTACTACCATTAGACTTCAAAGTCTTAATCGCTGAGTCTATATTTTGTATATTAAAGTCTATTCCGCCTAATTTGTGGTTGCTTTTGCAAGTCATTTGGAAATTTGGGGTTGGGTGCACTCTGGCGTCATTGCAAAACCACTCATTGAGGAGTTCACTGATAACCTGGGGATCATTGTGTATTATACCCTTATGCTCCAAGCTGCTTACAGTATTGTCTTTACTACTTTTTAGACGTCTCTGCAATATCCTACAAAGTTCCTGAGTTTTGGAGTTACCCACAAGCGCTTTATTTTCTTCAAGTTGTGACATCATTTTGTGTTTATCTTCGAGCCGTTTGAGAGTTTCATGTATTTGGTTTAACGCATTAAATTCCTTAAATACATGGTATTTCCTTTTCAATTTCTTTAGTTTTAGTCGCGTTTTGCGGTCTATAAATGGAGTTGGTGTCTTTAGAGCAGATTTTAGGGGCGCGATTATGTCTCTTGCTGAGCCAATTGTTTTGTAGAAAATATCGAGTGATACTTCTAAGTTATTGTTAATGAAGTATTCTTCCCAGTCAGAACTTCTCAGCAGATCTGATAGGAATTCCCAATCGGCATTCTTATAGTCCCTATACTGATAGTGCACCGGGGAATTTTTAGGTGTGTGTTTAGTTGTTAGTCGGAATGGTAGCGTGCAGTACAATATGTTGTGATCACTGTTATCAAGTTTATTTCCTACCTCTATCGAGATGGGCTCAATTTCATGACAAAGGATTAAGTCAAGAGTGTTTTCATTTCTTGTAGGGAGGCGTACGCACTGCTTCCATCCGCCTACGTCTATAGCTTGTAGTAGCTCGTCATGGATTCTAGGTCCTGTACAGGTATCCCAGTTTACTCCAGGTAGGTTGAAATCGCCACAAACTACTTTGTAGTCAAAGTCCAGCGTAGCTGCATGCTCTAGTATTTCTCCAATAGCTATATCAGTCATTTCAGGGCTATTAGGGGGTCTGTATAAACATCCCACGAGAATTTTATTTTCGTTTGTGTGGATGCTTATCCACTTAGATTCAGGGAGTTTGTCAGTAGTTGGGTTATTGAAAGTATTGGAGTTAGTGGATTTAGAGGCATATATTAAGCAGCCGCCTCCTCTTTTGTCAACTCTATCGTTCCTATAGATGTCGTAGTTGTCTATTACTAGCTTTGAGTCAGGTATATCAGTAGTAAGCCAGGTTTCAGTCACCATTATTAGTGTTGGCCGTTCTATGTATGCCAGGCAGCGAAGCGATGTTATTTTGTTAAGGAGAGATCTAGCATTCAGGAGCATAATCGTTAGTAAACCAGAGTTATTGGAGGAGAGGTTAACATGGTTACTTGTTTCTATCCCTACGTTATGTTTGGAGGGGCTCTGAGGTGAGACAGAGTCAGTGTGTGTACTATTTCCTGGATGAATTGTGCAGCGAGTGGGGCTATTGTTTGCTGCATCCGAAAATAATCCTGTTGCATGTTTTGACTTTTAGCATCCATGGGTGGGCATCTGCGTTCATTTGCTGGTGATATATAGTTTGCTTGACCTAGGTACCCTGTGTTAAGATTACCTTGGTAGTTGTACCTCATGGGTCTTTCATAGTCGTATGCATATTGGCTCACATCACATGTGT